GCTCGCGGTTGCGAAGAAGCATGGCCTCCGCCCGAAACGGAATAAGGCGATGGCGATGCTGGAGCGACTCCCGTCCTACCGCCTTTGCGGCGACGTCCTGCAATTTCGCGTCCCCCTCCACGGCTGGAAGATCCTGCTGCCCACCCTTGTAGAACCTGAAGAATTTATTTTCGAGGGCCAGACCTATGACCATACCAGCATCGCAGTTGCTGTGATCAGTGCGATCCATGCGGTTTCGCACGGACGGAAAGGCATCCTCTACCACCTAACACTGCGAAAAGGATTCTTTGTCGAGGGCGGATTGCTGGACCTCTGTGCCAAGATCGTATCCTTATGCATCTACTGCAGCCTCAGCCCCTACGCACAACAAGGCCCGAGCTCAGTGCGACTGCAACCACGGTTGGAGCTGTTCAGGCACCGGGGACAGGTGCTGTTTATCGATTACATCTGTGGCCTTGCTTCCGGTGACGAGTTCAGCAGCATTTTTACGGCCACCGACGGACGAAGCGAGCTGACATGGGCGGAGCCGACGACGGACGCGACGGCAGCCACGGCCGCCGACTGCGTCTTCCGCTTGATGTTGGCAACTTTCACACTGTATTCCTACATCCGATGCGACAATGGGTCGCATTTCGGGCGTCTATTTCTGGACACCCTAAACGCGCTCATCCAGAAAATCGACCCCCTGCACGAGGTCAAGACCTGGAAGAGTCCGCACTACCTCGCGTCCGGAAACTGGATGGTCGAACACCCTCACCACCTGCTCAACTTTCTGATCCGCCTGCTACACGCCCTGGCTCCGCCGAGTTTCCGACTGGAGCGACGAAACACGATGGACGGCGAGTTTTTGTTTGTTGTCCTCGACGACCCGAGTATGAAGCTGGTGGCCGAGAAGAAAAAGATCAACGTGAAGCGCGGCCCGAAAGGGAAGAAACAAGCAGCCGAAGAAGCCGAAGCACAGGAAGAAGATGCGATGGCGTTCCTGCCTTCCAACTGGTCCGACCATGTCCGCCGTGCTGGTTACCTCCTCGGAATCCAACCGCGGGGCAGCTATGCCGGTGCATCGCTGGTCGAACGGCACTGGGGTGCTGCAGCGCCGATCGCCGCCAACGAAGCTGTTTTCTCCACAACTGTCGAGGGGGATCTGCTCGATGAAGTTTCGCTCGCGATCAAGAAACGCCGAGAAACCGACTTCGAAGCTGTCGCGAGCCGCATCTTCAATCACGGTCGAAGCGTGAAGCGCGAAGCCCAGAAAACCGTCAACAAGGACCTGACTGCCGGCGACACGGTGATCCGCTTGAAACCCGATCGGTCCAAATACGAAATGAAGTTCTTGCCCCGGATTTTCGTCGTCCAGCATCGGAATGCCAACTCGGTCGTGCTTGGCTGCCTGCTCGGCCGCAGAATCCGCTTCGGGCAACCGCAGGCGATCACGATGGTTCGCGCCCTCCCGCTTACGGAGCCTGCGATCCTGGCCTACCTGACTGCCGCCCTGACTCCCGGCGAAGTTTCGAAACGCGTAAAGGAACTCGTGCAGCTGGGAACGCTCGACCGCGAGTGGCCCGCCCGCCCGCCCCTGTTGCGTCGCCAGCCGGAGATCCTACCACCGGGGGAAATCGTGATCGTCTCCTACAACCTCGATGGACTGTTTGCTTCGATCGAAAACGGCCCGAGACTGCTGGACCTGGAAGAAATTCTGAAGATGAAGCCCCACCTGATTTTTTTACAAGAGACCAAAGTCTCCCCGTCGCTGGAAACGAAAGCCCGCGACGCGCTCAACGCACTGGATTCCGATTACACGATCTACCTGCGCCCGAGCGTCTCCAAGATCGGCTATTCGTCCACTGCTGCCCTCGCCCGCAGAGACCTCCCACACGAATATTTTGGCGCGACCCGCTTCAACTCCGAAGTGCAGCATGAAGGTCGCTTCCAGGAAATTGTTGTTGGGGGCGAACACACCTTCGGGAATGTGTACAGCGTGAACGCGATGGAGGAGTTGCGTCGCATGAAGCAGGCCCAAGCCTGGGACCTGGACCTGCGTCAGTGGCTCGCCGGCCCGGGAAAGCGGATCCTCATCGGCGATTTCAACAGAGTGATCGACCGATCGATTTACGGCCTGCACGGGCGGCACAACCGAGAAACCCCATCGACCTCACGCCAGGAAACTGCCAGCATCCAGAAACTGCTGGGGACCGAAAATAAGGCGCTGCAGGTGACGCACGGGAAACGCAGCTGGACCATCTGCACCTATGACAAAACCGGTTTTGCTGTTGATTATCTCGTCCTGAACAAAGAGGCCCAGGACGCCAACACGGGACCGCTGAAGAACAAACCGACCACCGAAAAGCGCCCGGACCAACTGCAACCAGCGGCGAAGGAGTTGTTCTGCTCCCCACCCTCCATGACGCTGGAAATCAGAGGAACCCGGCGGGGAATCGACCACCAAATCCTGATTAGCCACATGCGGGTGGGGGAAGATGAGAAAACTGAAGTGACTGCCGAGGCCTACTAGCATCGCAATTACGATTAGAATGCACTAGATCTAGCCTATACTATGACGAATTTTCGCCCCGGAATGAATGCAAAAGAGAGGCGAAAACCATATCAAAACTAGACTACTTTCAAAGACTTTTACTACTGAAAAAGAACCCAAAACCGACGGCAATCCAGATCCGATAGCTCGGAGGCATTCGTCGCGATCGGATCGGCACTGTCGTCGGGGGAACAGAAGAAACGAACAGACTAGAAGGAGAAGAGCATGCGTATTTTGATCACTTGTAAGATTTAGATGTATGATTTATGATTTTTTCTTTTCAAGATTGCCATGCGATTTCCTTCAAGATGATTTTTTTTCGAAAAGACCAGAACTCACTAGAACCGGCATAGAAGTGACTGCTTTTCTTTATATTTTCATAAGGTGAAGAAAAGCAACAAACCACATGTATAATTCTAGAAATTTTACCTTTCTATACCTCACAATCCAATCCAGGAGTCGACCTTGATAGATCCTTCAGCAGAAGAGAGGCCTTGATACACCAAAAGCCGATCCCATCAAGGATCGGAAATTTCTGCTGAAGAATCGATCAAGAAATCGACCTTGGAGATGACAAATTTTCACTCCTTTCTAGATGAAATCTAACAACCAGAATTCGATCAAAACACCACAAGAATCTAACAAATAAAAAATGACACACTTTCAAATCACGATGAGAATGAGAATGAGAATGAACGATGGAAAGACGACGGGAATCGGATTTGATTTCTCATGCAAAAATGATGATGAGAAACAAATTTCTCATGCGAAATCCATGGATCAATCTCGATGAAGATGGACACTGACTTTCTCA